TCCCGACAGATCGGTGTACAATTAACTACTGAAACAAATTGTTGTTAGGAATGTGTTTAAAAGAGATTAAATCGCTCGTTAAGTTCTACGATGCAGACATTGCAATCGGGGTGCTTGAGAACGCACTACCGTTTGGATTTATGCCTGCCGTTGAAAGTTGGGGCAACGAGGTGTGGGGAGGGGAAACATAAGTGGAAGCTGAATAGACTTACTGCTGTGCTGGTGAGGTTGGTAGAACTAAGTTCAAGACTCCAAACCGCAAGAGTCGGGATGTCTGAGACCGGGAGAAAACGGTCGGAGAGAGAGACTGTCTCGTGTCCGTCGCGAGAACTGCCAGCCGGTGGAAGCCAGACAGAGGTTTCACGACCAAAAAGTTCCGACAGGTGGCGCTCCGAAGGTGGTAGAAGGTCACACTGCCATATTACAAGAACCTGAAAGAGGCAAACGAATGAGGGAAAAAATTAAAACCTTCCTAGGTTCCACCGGTTTCCAAATAGCAATAAGGGTCTATCCTATATGGAAGAGTCCGGGAGCAGAAATACCTACAAAACAATATCAGAAATGCAAGCAGTCATGTATTCAATATCGTAACTGAGCTCGACCAAATTTAAAGTTTGAGTTTTTAATGCGCAGTTAATTCGAATGGCTAAACAATAATGCGAAACTTGCCTTTACGAGATACTTTGAACGAGAAAATTGTAGGGCGAATGAAGATAGGTGCTTGTATTGCGACCGACAGAAGGGCTCGCGGACAACGACAGATAGAGTGAACCCCTGAAGTAGTTGTTCTGAAAATCCGGGGAGAATGAAAGCTTAGAACAAAAGCATTTGCACAGGTACACTGGTTTAAAATATCTCAACAACAAATAAGGATAAATAATGGTTAAAATCCCCCCATAGGAACTCACTTTTGCAACGTGGGGGAAGTTCGGAAGATGGATAGGCGCACTCGTCAATAGACACAACCGGGTCGAGCAAAAGACCACCAGGCGGTAGATTCCAATGTGAATGACGTTTTTGTCGAAGTGAAACGCGATTTCGAATTATCTGCAGGCAAACATGTGAAAATAATTTCGCTGAGACATGATGCGATGCATGTAGCAGCTCGAAAATGGAAAACCGGCAATAAAACTAATGATATCACTTCTGTTCGAGAGAGAACTGCTGATGCGAGAAAAGGACGACTTTAGGCTAGCAGGGAAAGTCTCTCCCGGGTCACTTAGATACAGCAGTGACGTGATAAATTAAAGACTTGAGAGTTCAAGAAAAATGCAGTTCAGCTCAGTTTTTTGGGTGGAGGGAATAGAGACATTTACCTTGTAACTCTCTATTTGTACGTAGCACTATACTACGGAAAAATTGCAACATGAAAATCGGTGTCAAACTACAAATTGTGTCAGTGGGCGCATTGCAGGGCAGAACTGTAGACTGCAAAAAAAGTTTTACTAAAACATAATAAGTAGTAGTGCTTTTTCATTTTAAACACAAACCAAAATATGTCCGACGAAAGCACGTCTTCACTCCGAGAATAAAACGGACAACATACTGGAACGCACCAACTAATATGTTAAGTAGAGTTCTTGCAAAAAAATAAAGAAAAAAATTGAATACAAACCCACCTCCAGCGTGGTCATAATAATTGATCGCAGAGAAGAAAAGTAGGTGCTCCAGATAAAGCGAATTCGCTCTCGCATCTGAATGATTCTACTGTCAGGAATATCGCGAAGGATATCAGGCAGAGTAAAAAGAGTCCGCTCGTCGCCCATAATAACGGCCTCGTGCCAATCGATCACTTCCGAAA